CAAAGAACTGATGGACGTTGCGGCGGCGGCGCGCGCAGCGCGCGCGCGCCTGAGTCGCTGTGCCCGAGTATTCTTGGCACGGTGGGCTGGCGGCGCGCAGGCGCGCGCGCTCCCTTCGATTCTCAGGCGGATAACGCTCCAAGGGTCCGCAGCTGGGGACCCTGGGCGATAAAATGCTTCATCCTCAACGTCGACGCGGCGCTGGACGAGACCCAGGCGGCTTTCGGCAACGACTCCGGTGTCTTGGGCATGGCTCACCCGAAACACAAACGGGTTGGTTGGCAAGTGGCGGTCTCCCGCCGATTTCGTGCACCTCATGAACTGGATGCTCGGCGGTATCCTTGCATGCAAACCCTGGATCACTGGGTCGTTTCTGTCCTTCTGGGGCAGTGAGTCGATCGGTGGGTGCAACTGGCCACCGACATTCGGTGTTGATCCCGCCCAGGGTCCTCGCAGCACGGGCCTGCACAACATTCAAAAGGGTGGACGACGTCCAGACGCTTTCAAGGCCGCGGAGCCTGTTGGTTGGGCCAGCGGTGAAGAGTGTCAGACGCTATGTTTGCTGCGCCGCCTACCACGGTCTGTGCCGCAAGCACTTTGGGATTGGAAATCGCGGAGTTCATCGGCCTCAGGCGAGGTGTGGCTGAGTGCAACGGCACCCTGACGAACGAGGAGTGTCAGGCTCGGAGGGCACCGTCTGTGTACGCCGCTTCCTGCGTGGACAGCGCTGTCCGCCACGGGTTTTTGCGCAGCGCCAAGGCCGAGGTCTTCGCCGGCTACGTCCGCGAAGCGGTCCGCGGCCACGGCAGGCTGGCAGGTCTCGTCCAGCGCGCGCCAGCAGTAGTTCCTTCCTCTTCCCTTCCCGCGGTGTGCCAGCAGTAGTTCGTTCCCTTTCCCTCTCTGGTCTCTCGCTGTCGTTGTCGGTTGTCTGTCGTCCTCGCCCTTCGCTTTCCCCCTCCCCCTCTCCCCGCCGGTGGCTTTTCCCTTCCGCGGTGGCCGTTCAGGTCGCCTCCTGCTCCCTGCCTGCTCGTTGCTCGCTTCTCCGGCTGTCCTGGTCCTCGCCAATCAAGCGGTTTGCATGTGGTGTTGTGGTCGCTTCAGTTCTTGCTTCCACGGGCTGTCGCGCCCGTTTGCCTATGATGCGAATCCGGGCCATATTTGTATCGTTCGTTTCTCCCGTTCCTCCTGGTCCTCCCGTTCTTTCATTGATACCGTGCTGGATTCTGATTTTCGCCGTTTGGGTTTCGGGGGATTCGGCAGCGTCGTCCCGCAGCCTCCCTCACTGAGCAGGCAGTTTGTCTGCCTCGCTGTTCTCTGCTTCTGCTCTTCCTCGCCTTCCTGTTCTTCTCTTCCTCCGTTTCCCCATTCCGGCGCGATTTGTTTTCTCTGGCAAGTTGCGCACGTGCACCCGAGGTTGTGAGCCTTGTCTTTTCACTCTGTCATAAATGCCCGCATTTCCGCCCCTATCTTTCCGCCGGTCTGGTACTTTTTCAGATGCGCTCACTTGCGGAGGCTGCTGTCGTTGGGGGTGATATAGAACATGTGAATGGCGTTGGCGGGGATGATGGTGATGGTGGTGGTGGTGGTGGTGCTCTTGGACGATGATGACGATGTGGACGATGATGGTGATAGTGACACTGTTGATGATGACGACGTGAAAGATGACGACGATGATGTTGGTGATGCTGCTGGTGATGATGTTGTTGCTGGTGATGATGACTATTGCCACGGTGAAGATGGTGGTGGTCGTGGTAGTGGTGGGTGGTAGTGGTAGTGGTGGTGGTGGCGGTGGTGGTAGGAAATCCGATGATTATCACGATGATCGAAGTTGCTGTTGATGATGACGATTTGGACTCTGCCCAGTACGGTGCCGTTTACGACGATGATGGCGTTGATGACGATGTCGGTGACAATGGTGATAACGACGAGGATACCGATGGCGACGACGATGATGATGATGATGATGATGATGGTGATGATGATGATGATGATGATGATGATGATCATGATGATCATGATGATGATGATGATGGTGATGATAATGATGATAATGATGGCGATGATGATGATGATGATGATGATGATGATGATGATGATGATGATGATGATGATGATGATGATGATGATGATGCTGATGGCGATGCTGATGACGATGCTGCTGCTGCTGCTGCTGCTGATGATGATGATGATGATGATGATGATGATGATGATGATGATGATGATGATTCGGATTATTGGGATTATGCTGATGATGATGACGATGCTGCTGATGATGAGGAGGATGATGATGGCGATGGCGATGGCGATGGCGATGGTGATGATGATGCTGCTGCTGATGATGATGATGATGATGATGATGATGATGATGATGATGATGATGAGGATGAGGATGAGGATGAGGATGAGGATGAATAATAATATGGTGGTGATGACGGTGTGATAATGATGATGACGATGGTGACAGCGCTGATTATTCGTGACAGTGGCGATGGGGAGGAGGACGAGGAACCCCGTTCGCCTCCCGCTGCCGCGCGGGCCCCGGCGCGGGCAAATCGAGGTCAACGCGGGCTTCTTCTACAGTTCCGCTGAGCAGCGGGACAAGCTGGTGGAGTCCTCCCCTCAAGCCGCCGCTTTTCGGCGGCGCGCCCATGAGGGATTCCTGAGATCTGTGCGTTGCGTTTTTTTCACAGCGGGTGTTTTCGCTCGGTTTCGGGCCCCAGGACACTCACAGATCGATCCAGCTCGAAACATGACGCGCAAAGATGGGGTCTACTAGGGCTCCGGTCGCAATTTTCCGCGAAGTTTCCATATTTCTTTCCAGCGTCAGATCCAAGGGAAGGCAGAGGGGGCGGGCCTCCGCAGAAAGCTCAGAAGGCCTCTGGCCTACTGAGAAGCCTTCGAAGCCTTCGCCGAGCCACAGGTCACAGGGTGCTTCTCAGAAGGCCGGAGGGCTTCCGAGGAGTCGCCGCCTTGTCAGAAGGCTCACCCCCTCGCTACCCCCTCGGCGCGCCGTCGACTCCCCGAGGCGCGCCCCAGGGTTGGACCTAAACGGTGTTTTCGCGATTTTGTGGGCCGTTTTCGTTTCGATTTCGTTTTGCAGCAAAGGCGGGTCGGAGACAAAACAATGGAAAACGAAAACAACATGAAAACGACAAACACTGTTTAGGTCCATCTCTGTCACCCCTTTTCCTTTTTTCTTTGCAGTTCAACTTTGGCTTCGGCTTCAGCCGTGTGCATTCCGAAGCGCCCTCGGGCCAGCTCACCCGAGTCGGGTTCCCGCTCGCACGGGTGCCTCGCTCCCTCCTCGCCCACCCTCTGATTATGTTGCCCCCATCATACTTAAGGACCAAATCGCATACATATTTTTTGACGCTCCGCGTATCCCAATGACACCGTAGCCTGGCTCAAGCCGTCTCGGCTGGAGCCCGCCCCCGCCAGGTGCGCGCCGTGCTGGGCCGCGTCATGTCCGCCGCTGCCGCCGCCAGCGCCGTCACCGGCGCGGCGGCGGCAGCGGGTTGCCGCTGCCGCCCGCGGGCCGCCTGGGCTGGCCGCCGCCGCCGCCGCTGCGCCCGCGGCGGCGGCTGGCGGCGGTGGCCCGCCCGCCGATGTGCTCGCCGCGGCCGCCGCCGCCGCCGCGGCCGCCGAGGCCGTGGCAGCAGCCGGCCGCGGCGAGGCCGCCGCGGCCGCCGGCGCCGTGGCGCGCGCTGCTGCGCTGGGGCCTGCCGCGGCGGCCGCGGCCGCCGGGGTGCGGCGGCCGCCGCTGTGGCCGCCGCGGCCGCGGGCGCCGCCGCGCCCGCCGTGGCGCCCGCCGCGGCCGCCACTGCCGCCGCCGCCGCCGCGGCCGCCTCTGGCGGGCCGCTGGCAGCGGCCGCTGTTCGTGACACTGGGAGCGGCGGCTGGCTGGCGGCGGCCGCCGGTACCGCCGCGCCTGCGGATGCGCCCTCCGCGGCCGCCGCCGCCGCCGCCGCCGCGGCCGCCTCTGGCGGTGGCGCTGCTGGCTCTCCGCCGCGCGCCTTCGAGGGCGCGTTGGGCGTGCCGGCGCCCGTCGGCTACTGGAGCCTCCATTCATTTTATGACTGGGACTGCAGGCCAAAGGCCCGCCCCAGGTGCTCCACCCGTCGTACCGCGCTCTTCCACACTACCACCTACGGTGACCCCAGTCAGGTGGAGTCGTTCCCCCCCCACCTGGCGGGCACAGTCCCCCCCTCAAGTGCGCCGCACTTGCAGCGCTGTGTTGGGTCCTCTGCGGTCAATGCCGCCACCTGGCCCACCGGCTGTGCCCCTCTCCCCTCCTCCATAATTTACCTGATTTGCGGCTATCGGCTGCGCCTCCCCCCCCTCCTCCACGCGCGCCGACGTGGCGTGCCACGCCACTCGGCTTCCCCCCATCGTGGCAGCGCTCCGCGTGCACGCTCCGAGGTGGTCACGCCTATCCCCGCGGCGGGATGCGATCACCCGCTGGCCGCGGCGGGTGGGCCTGAGGTTGCTGGGTTCCTGTGCAAGTGGTCCATCCTTTGGCAGTTCTGAGCCCTCGCATGGCAGGCCCGACCCTCCGACCCCTGGCTTCGCTTGCGACATCGCCCCCTTCCTCCGGACGGACTTGTTGCTTGCGTACGCATCGCGCCAACGTCCCTTTCCATGGTGAACGGCGCACGTGGTTCACGACAGCCCAGCGGTTCTCCCACGGGCAGGTCCGCAGGCCTCCCGCCGGGTGGTTCTGCCGTGGTACCTCGCAGCGTTCTCCCCATCCACTGTGGCAAGGCAGGTGCAAGCTGGGGCTCTGACGACTAGGCTGCCGACGCCCGGCATCCGTTGACGCACCTGGCTTCGAGCGCGTGAGGTGAGGTGATCTGTGAGTGAGGCCCTATTTCCTCCCCCCCTCTCCTCGTCGCCTCCCGCGCCTGCCCCCCCCTCCGCTTCTCCTCGCCGCGTTTGGCGGTGCCTCTCCTGTTCCCGCCATCGCGCAGGCTTGGTCTGTGGGGGCTGGCGCCGCAGTGCGACCCTCCGCCGGCTTTTCCAGTCTGCTGCCGTCTTCCGTTCCCAGGTCGGCTCTAATGAGGTTCATTTTGTCCTTGGCATGTGCATTGCGGCGTTGGCCTATGTGCCTTCGTTGCCAATCATCTCGATTGACCCGCTCTCTGGAATCGTCCTTTGAGCCGCAGATCAAAAAAACAGTATCCCAATGACTCTTCCGGTGTTACCTGATGTCTGGCTTCGCCAGGGAGTGGCCCTGCACGAGTGGTTCATCCTCCTGCAGTTCTTGGCCGTTCGCCTAGCAGACCAGTTTGCATCAGCCTCTGTCAGCACTTGCAACGGTGTGCCCCCGAACCGCGAGAGTCGGATACGTTGTGTACGCGCTGGCTACAGGCTGGAGGTGGCGCCACCTCGTGTTCGCTGACGAGGTCGCCGCCCTCTCATGTGCAAGGGCGGGTTTCAGCCGCGTTCTGCGCCAGTGAGCCATGGTGAGTGAGGCCGTTCTTTGTGCCGCCTTCTTTTTCTGGCTGATGCCGTGTGCCCCGACTGGCGTCCATATCGGCTCTCTTGCCCCCTTCTCTGCCTCGCTTCCATGTGACGTTCGGCCGGGGATTGGCGCCGACAGGGCGACTTCTCCCCGCTGTTCCAGTGCCGTTCCTGCGCTGTGGGCCGCGTTCGTCTTCGCCCGTTGCCCGCTGCGCCGCGGCGCCCCCGCCCGCCGGGATGTCGGCGCTGGATTTCGGTGTTTAACTTGGGACATTCTGTTCCTTGCGTGTGCATGCGCCTCTTCGGCTATTTATCTTCGGTTCGCGCCCCGTTCGATGCCCCGCTTCTTGACCTTCGCCAGGGGGCCGCCGACAAAACAATCCCAATGGCTCGGCGCAGCCATAGAGCAGCCCCGGCTACCAGCCTCGTCAGTGCCTTGCATCGTTGCGCCCCCGAACTGCGTGAGTCGGATGCGATGTGCACGCGCTGGCTACCGGCTGGAGGTGGCGCAACCTCGCGAGCGCACACCAGTGGTCTTCTATGCTGGATGGCGCTCCGACGAGGATCAGCCACACCTTAGCAAGTGTGCGGCCCTGCGTTGAGTGGTTCAGCCTTTTGCAGTGCGTGGTCGCCTCTTCAGAGCAGCCCCGGCCGCCAGCCTTCGTCGGTGCTTGCATCGTGCCCCCGAACTGCGTGAGTCGGAGACAATGTGCGCACACTGGCTACCGGCTGGAGGTGTGGATCGGGCGCGGCCGTCAGCCATTCTTTCGGGGGCGCCCGTCGTTTGGCGCCGCCAGGGAGCGGCCCTGCATTGAGTGGTTCAGCCATCTGCAGTTCGCGGTCGTTCCCCCGGCAGAGCAGTCTGCAACCAGCCCCCGTCAGTATTTGCATCGTCTTACCCCCGAACTGCGAGAGTCGGATGCGATGTGCACGCGCTGGCTTTGGCTAGAGGTGGCTCAGCCTCGTGAACCCACACCAGTGGTCTTTCTACTGCATGGCGCTCCGACGAGGAACAGTTGCACCTCAGATTCAGTGAGCCTTGATGAGACAGGCCTCTTTCGCCACACCATCGTTTACTCGTCTTGCTGCTGGGGGCCTGTGGTAGTCGCTCGCTGTCGCTCTCTCTTTTTCCCCTCCTTCGTGTTCTTTCTTCTCCGCCAGTCTCTCCGCCGTATCGCCGCCGGTCGCCGCGCTGTGGCGTTCCCGCCCGCCGGGATGTCTGCGCCGGTCTTTGGCGTCCAATTTGGGTCATTTTGTCCCTTGCATGTGCGTGCGCCACTGCGGCCAATTATTTTCGTTTCGCGCCCCGTTCGTTGCCCCGCCTCTTGACCTTCGCCAGGGAGCCGCCGACCCCCAAAAAATATCCCAATGACATCTTCTACGCGGTGGAGAACCAGTACGAGGTGCCAGACAACGTTGGACGTCAATTGGCTCAACGTTCTGGCCTGCTCCACCCTGGCCTGGACGTTTCCTCCGTTGGGGCTCACTACCGACGGATTGGTACCAGGCACGGAATGGGATGGAACAGATGGGCCGTTGGACTGGTCGTGCAACACATCATCGGGGAGGACGATCGGCTAAAGAAACTGTTGGTGGCGCACGTCAACCAAACCATTCACGGGGACAAAGGCCCGAGGGTCCATAGCACGGACGAACTTGCTCACTGGCTGGCCAGACTTGACATCGAGGATGCCCCAAACCATGTGATGCGTCTGGACAACGTTAACTTGGGAATACTGGACACATGCATGCGCCCACGTGGGATTGGATCTCGACCGATCCGCCCAAGCCGTGCCGCACCACCAGACAACGTGTCATTTCAGCAGCTCATGGGGCGAATGGCCAGGTTGGCTGATAACGCCAAGGAAAACATCTCGGCCCTGTGCGACCCGGGCTCCCATCGAATACGCGATGAGGAGAAGAGTCTGGACCCCTTGGTCAGCGTGGTCATGAACGCGTCTCTCGGGAGGCAATTTTTTCGTGCTCACCCTGGCGCGGACTTAGCGGGCGGCCACTGACCCGACCTGAAAGTCCACGAACAGCTACAAGAGAGATCAGGAGCAGCTCAGGAAACGAGCCTGCTGTAGCCACAGAGGAACGCAGGGACCCGGACGGCGATCTCCTGGACTACGACCCGAGCAAGGCCAGCG